TAAACATCCTGATGATATGAGCTCCCTAAAGCATTGTGCTGTTTCTAAGTGGGGAGCGTGGAGGAGGTTAAAGAATGAAATCGCTTCTCATAGGTGATTACAGGTTCCCCAGGCTTCTTAACTACAACTTAAACATGCAGAGAACCAAAAACGGAAGACTCAGGTGCCACGGAGAGGCTCACATGGCTGTGTCCCTCCTGAGCAAAGCAAGCAAAGAGATACTTGGGAGAATCGCTTGAGCTCAGGAGGTCGAGGCTGCAATGAGCTATGATTGTACCATTGTACTCTAGCCTGGGCAACAGAAGGAGACCCTATCTCAAAAAAGAGAGAGAGAGAGAGAGAGAGAGAGAGAGAGGAGGTATCACCTCTGTTTACCAGAAACCATCTATACTCCTGGCTACAGCCCTACAAGCCATTTCTTCAATGTGCTTGAAGATATTCAGATGTGCTTATTAATTAGTCATCATTATTGACCTGACGTTCTGCTGTCATTTAAATAAACTTGGTGAAATTAATGAGGCCCCTAATAATATGTAGATTTCTTGTGCTAATTATTTTTTGGTGAACAAATTCCATTGTTAATACAAATAGCAATATTAATCATACTAAGGATCAATATTTGTGTGGGTAGTGAGCCGCAGAATAAGAGAAAGGGCATGGTCACATTGAGGGGTGTTGGGAGAAGATCGGAGACTGGCCAAACGCGAAGGTTGCCTTGCCTAAGGAAGGGGATGAGTACGAGCTTCATTGATGATGAGGTGGGAGGAGGAAGGTGGTTCCCAAATGTAGAATGGGAGTCTGTAAAAGAACTCGATGTGGCAGTAACTGTGGCCATCCTAGAGCCTTCTTCTTCTTCTTCTTCTTATTATTATTATTATTATTATACTTTAAGTTCTGGGCTATATGTACAGAATGCGCAGGTTTGTTACATAGGTATACACGTGCCATGGTGGTTTGCTGCACCCATCAACCCATCATCTACATTAGGTATTTCTCCTAATGCTATCCCTCCCTTAACCCCTACCCCACAACAGGCCCCAGTGTATGATGTTCCCCTCGCTGTGTCCATGTGTTCTCATTGTTCACCTCCCACTTATGAATGAGAACATGCAATGTTTGGTTTTCTGTTCCTGTGTTAGTTTGCTGCGAATGGTGGTTTCCAGCTTCATTCGTGTCCCTGCAAAGGACATGAACTCATCCTTTTTTATGGCTGCATAGTATTCCATGGTGTATATGTGCCACATTTTCTTTATCCAGTCTATCATTGATGGGCATTTGGGTTGGTTCCAAGTCTTTGCTATTGTGAACAGTGTTGCAATAAACATACGTGTGCATGTGTCTTTATAGTAGAATGATTTATAATCCTTTGTATCCCAGAGCCTTCTAAGATGCACAAACTAATACAAGTTCAGAGACCTTGAAGATTCTGCCATTGTCTTTACCCCCAGTCACTTCCAACAGACCTCGAAGTCCCCACTGATCCAACCATCCAGTCAGCCCTCTCAATCAGTACCTTCTCTTGGCGTCCTTTTCCCTTCATCTGCTGAAAGCTTGCACCTTGGCTTATGTTCCCTCCCTCGCTAGATGTTCGGACCCACATCTAATCTTAGCCCCTCCAATCCAGCTTCCAAACTAGAGCCCAAAAACTAAAAGAGAAAATTGTTCCCTGCTAAGGAGTTCTCTGGTGGGTCTCATGGTCTAGAGTGTAGTCCAAGGCCTCCTTCGAGTGCAGTCTCTTTCCATGGAGTTCAAGTGTCCGGATGTTAACTGTCCTTATCTCCCCAGCCTCCCATCCCACGTTCATGAAATGCTTTGGGGATTCCCCTCATCCCATCATTTCAGTCAGTTAACTCCTGCACACTCTCCACCCTTAAAATCCTTCCAGGAATCCCCAGCTAGAGCTCCTCGTCTGCTCCCAGGACTCGTGGCCTTCCCAACTTCACAGCTCTTATCACACTATTGATAATTTTCATTATCATGTCTTCCTTATTTTATCTCTTCCATATTCCCGGGACTGTGAACCTCTTGAGGGCATGGCATTCGCCTGATTCATCTCAGGCTACACAAAGTCCCGTGGTGCGTAAATGTTTGATGAACATACAAATGAGTGATTAAATCCTTATGGGAGAAAGGATTGTGGGGGAGACTCAGGAGTCAGCAGATAGGTGAGCTGGGAATAGAATCACAGTGAGAAATTGAAAGTGGAGATGAAAGAAGTCTTGGAAGCAGCTGTTGGTTTTTGGTAAGTGGACTCAGTATAGACTAACAATGTTGATAAGAAACTGGTAGGAAGAACAGGCAAGAGTGCAGATTTCTTCATCCGGGTCCCATAATGACTATTGATGCAGGCAGAGAACACAGTTTGAGAGAATATGGCAGATTTACCAGCCACGCTTGGCTCAAGCTGTGTGTACATATTTCAGGAGGTCCCAGTGGGCAAGAAACAGTGTGCTGATCAGGGAAAGTCAGGTTCCCTTTGACCCCGTGGAAGGATCTTGGCATCTCTTGCTCTGAGAAATGTCTGGCGTCTTATAGAGGATGGTATTTTTCTGCTGAACAAACCATGTGTCCATGAACTATCAGGTTTCCTTGGAAATTTTTAGCTTTTTCCCAAGCACACAAGCAGCTTCTACCCAGGGGTGTCCAACCTTTGGCTTCCCTGTGCACATTGGAAGAACTGTCTTGGCCACATATAAAATACACTAACACTAAAAAAACCAGGTCTGTGCATAATTTTCATGATATCTGCCACCACACATACGCAAAAAAGTTTTTGCCTTCCAATGACTGGACATGGCTGCTCTAGACTCTAACCACAGAAGAGCATCAGAAGATGCTGAGAGGTTCCCCAGGATGCAGCGATGTGGGGAAATCTCATCACTCAGCTCTGAGCAAGCTTTCAGGTCACAGAAGCATTGGCATCTCTCAGGGAGTCACATGATGGTGTCAGGCCTGGTGACTGTGGGGTGCAGCTCTCCCAAGACCCAGAGGGAGGTTCATTGAACACTTGCCATGTACACTGCGCTAAGGGCTAAATCTCAAAAAGTCCTTTCTGCTCTGATGAATTTCTAAAATGAATGATTTCACCTTAGCTGAAGTATCAGGAAGTGTGATCTGGGAAAGAAGCAAAGGAAGGTTGTTTTGGTCTGGAAATGTTATCTCTGAAAGCAGGAGTTCCCAACCCCTGAGCCATAGACTGGTACTGGTTTATGGCCTGTTAGGAACCAGGTTGAACAACAGGAGGTGAGCAGTGGGCAAGTGAGCAAAGCTTTTTCTGTATTTACAGCCGCTCCCTATCGCTCACATTACCACCTGAGCTCTGCTTCCTATCAGATCAGCTGCATGATTAGATTCTCATAAGAGTGCAAACCTGTAGTGAATTGTGCATGTGAGGGATCTAGGTTGCACGCTTCTTATGAGAATCTGTCACTGTCTCCCATCACCCCTAGATGGTACTATCTAGTTGCAGGAAAACAAGCTCAGGGCTCCCACTGAGTTTACATGATGGTGAGTTGTAAAATTATTTCATTATATAGTACAATGTAATAATAATTGAAATAAAGTGCACAATAAATGTAACAAGCTTGACTCATCCCCAAACCATCCCCTCCCCCTCCACCCTCTCCTGGTCCATGGAAAAAATTATCTTCCATGAAACTTGTTCCTGGTGCCCAAAAGGTTGGGCACCACTGTCTTAAAGATTGTTTTATATCTTTCTTCTCCTTGACCAGAAGGGGGTTAATACAATGGAGATTCCTTTTCAGCACAAAAAGGGAAGATTATATATGTGAGCTAAGCTTTTATTTGAGTTGAAACATCCTCTACAAAATAGAGTCCACTATGTCGGAAGGCTTAATGCCCCCAGGGAAACAAAATTGCATTAATATTCAAAGATGTTCCAATATTTCTTCAAGTTTCACAACTGATACTAAATTAAGCCATGAAGTGCAACCATGCTAATTGGCAAAAGGCACATGATAGACAATAATGGTGTAAAAGTTCATCTCTTGCTCCAATTAATTACAAAAGAGGATTTTTTTTTTAATGAAGGAACAAGCTCTCACATTCACCATATGGATCCTAAAGCACCTTTCTTGCAAAGTATGACACCACAACTCTGTCTTCCATAGCCCTAACGTAAAATGAAATTATTTTTTGTATATTAGCATGTCAAAACATGGAATTGCATGTCCAATGTGGTGTTTTAACGCAATTGAATACACCTTTGGATCAATGAATAATGTATAACATAAATCTTCTAACTGAAGTAAGTATCATTGAGTTAGAATTCTTTATAATCATTCTATTATAAAGACACATGCATGCATATGATCATTGCAGCATTATTCACAATAGCAAAGATATGGAATCAACCTAATTGCCCATCAATGACAGACTACATAAAGAGAATGTGATATATATACACCATGGAATACTATGCAGCCATAAAAAAGAACAAGATCATGTCCTTTGCAGGTACATGGATAGAACTAGAGGTCATTATCCTTAGCAAACTAACCCAAGAACAGAAAACCAAATACCACATGTTCTCAATTATAAGTGGGACCTAAATGGTGAGAACACATGGACACATAGAGGGGAACGACACACACTGGGGCCTTTCAAAGGGTGGAGGGTGAGGTGAGGGAGAGGATCAGGAAAAATAACTCATAGGTACTAGACTAATACCTAAGTGATTAAATAATCTGTACAACAAACCCCCGTGACACAAGTTTACCTACATAACAAACCGCTATATACCTAGATAACCAACATGTACTACTGAACTTAAAATAAAAGTTAAAAAGTAAGAATTCTTTAGGGGTTATTATCTGTCTGGTATTGGTCACTGAGCTTTCCCATGCCTGGTATCTCTTACAGATTATGAAGAGTGCAGGCTCGTCCCTTATCTCCACCAAAGTCTAACCACCAGGGAAGAGATACAAGGAATTGCAAATGGGAGCAAACAATCCATTTTATTAAAGTGCCCAGTAATTGCCAAAGTACAAGACAAAGTTGAAATTGAGACATGGCTTGGATATGAGGCTACAGTAGGGGCATCCTATCACTGCCTGTATTGACTTGTATGTCCCTAAAGAAGAACCTGGGGTCTGGGTAGCTTATTTGCAATAAAATCTCAGGAATCAGCAGTGGGCAGCCAGAGGGAGTGAGGGAAGGGGAAGAAACCCACATTGGATGCATAATTGAGTTCACTGCTGTGAGTGTCTGGGGCTCTCAGAATAGTCCACCTAAGATCAGCCTGTAAGTTACAACCATCGGCTTCCAAATCTGCTGGTTGAGTGGATTCCCACCTCCAGGCTGGTCACACTTGCTTGATGAGTGAGTTCGTACCAACATCAGGAGTGTAAGAGAAATACAAAGCACCCACATCACTGTGGGTGCTTAAGGTAAGTTGTTGTCAGACCAAGGTAGATAGAAGCCAACTCAGAAACTTTCCACTGCAGCTGTAGCTAAAACTGAACGGGAGGATAAGGGAATGTGAGTGGGGCCCTAGACGTGTGTGATACACTCCCCACAAGTGTGTGAGGTCCACTGCATTGGAGCGCTGGGTCCATTCATTTAGCTGACACCAAAGATGGCAGCCCTCTCTATCAATGCAAGCCCCAGCAGCACACAGACCATCAGCTCAAATACTCAGCTCTCCTTAAGAGGCAACCTCAGGTCCCAATCCAAAGCACAGATGCATGAAACCACAGTGAGCTGCAGCCTCTCTTACCGATGAGGCACAAGTGGGCAAAAGAAGGATTGAAAATCTTTCCCACTTCTGAGCCAAAATCATATTGGATGTGTTGGGGTAATGCTTGCTCATGCAAACTTTTCTAATCTTAGTAGCTTAATACAATAACTGTCTTTCTCAAATTGTAGGCACCAAGCTTGGCTTCCCCATAGCAGTTCAGAAACCCAAATATCTCCCATGTTCGGGTTCTGCTGTCGTCAAGATGTTTATCAGCATTAAGAAGGAAAAGGCAGGCAGGATTCCACATGCGAAGATTCTGTGGGACAGAAATGGAGGTGGTTCCTGGTACTTCTGCCCACTTGCCATCAGCTGAATTCAGTAACTTGGCCACAGTTAACTCCAAGAAAGGCTTGGAAGCAGGCTCAAGTTGTGTGTCTAGGAAGAAGATGAAACATGTTTAATGAACAGCTAGGCAATCTCTGCCATACATTCCTTCTTTTCATAAGACATAGACCCAAAAAATAATCAGCTTTGACCAATAAGGTTGATCTGGTTTGGCTGTGTCCCCACCCAAATCTCATTTTGGGTTGTGGCTCCCATAATTCCCATTTGTTGTGGGAGGGACCCGGTGGGAGATATGGGGGTGGTTTCCCTTATACTGTTCTCATGGTAGTGAATAAGTCTCATGAGATCTGATGATTTTGTAAGAGAAAACCCCTTTCACTTGGCTCTCATTCTTTCTTTGCCTGCAGCCATGTAAGACGTGCCTTGGTTCTTCCCTCACCTTCCGCCATGATTGTGAGGTCTCCCCAGCCACGTGAAATTGTGAGTCCATTAAATCTCTTTTTAATTTATAAATTACGCAGTCTCTGGTATGTCTTTATCAGAAGCTTGAGGACGGACTAATACAAAGGTGTACCAACACTCCACCCTTGAAAAAGGGTAGGTGCAAAGGAAGGCAAGAGAAGTATAAAGTGTTCACTCCAAAACTGGAGAAGCAAATTGCAGTTTGTTTTAAAATGGACAGAAAAAAGCCAAGTCCTAAATCGTGCAGTTCCCACAGTCCTCCATTCCATCTTCCCAGTTTCTCATTAGGATGCTTTTATACCCCAGTGTTATAGATGGGGAAACTGAGGCTAGGAGACCAAGTGGTTTGCTGAAGTTAATATTGTTGATGGGAACCACGGGATTTAAACTCACGTCTTTTGGATCCCTCAATGTGGAAAAAGAGGACCAGGAGCTATGTCTTTGGCTTTTATCATTTACATTCAGAAAAAAATTACCAGAGATGGAATCATTCTGCTTTTGTTTCTAGGCCACAAAATCCTAGCCAGAAAGCCTAAATTAAGAAACAGAACATGAGATGTATTAATCTGCCAGGACTGTCACAACGAAAGACCAGAGACAGAGTGGCTTAAGCAACAGAAATTTATCGTCTCATAAACGCATTAAGAGCAGGGTTGGTCTTTTCTGAGGGTGGTGAAGGTGAGTATGTTCCATGCCCTTCTCCTAGCTCCTGGGGGTTTGCTGGTGATCTGGCATTCGTTGGCTGGTAGATGCAGGACCCTGATCTCCCTCATGTTCATCCGGTGTTCCCCCTGCATCTGTATCAGTCTCTGTGTCCACATTTCTTTGCTTTTTTATAAGCACACCAGTCATAATGGATTGCAACCACCCTAATGCCCTCATTTTAACCCAATTACCTCTATAAAGACCCTGTCTCCAAATCAGGTCACATTCTGTAGCACTGAGGGTTAGTACTCCAATATGTCCATTTTGCGGGGAAGGAGGTACAATTCAGCCCCTGTAACACAAGGTCGGGGTTGGAATTCTCTGCCTCATTCAGAGAGTCATCAATACATTCTAATGGCAAAATAAAGGAGTTGGTATTCACCTTGGAGACACAGGTCTCAAAACCAAAAACAACACGTCAGGGTGGCCCAGTGCATCCCTTGGATTTCAGGGAATTGGAATCAATTTTTATCTTCCTGATTCAGAGAGATCTCAAAGGCAGGATTTCCCCAGGTTCCCAGTAAAATGGGACATTGTTGGTTTGCTATCCACATTCCAGACTTAGGGTGAAAGTCCCCTTGATAGGGAGCTGCCATCACTTCTGAAATAAAATATAGAGGTCAAGTCCTATTTCCAAAGAAAATGTTACGTTCTCCTTTCTATTTTTTTTTCTGGGTTATATTTTAGACAAAACGTGCTCTGCAATTAGATAGCTGTAGCCGTATCTTATTTCCTTTACCATTAATCTTTTATAAACTGTGAAATTAACAAGCCTCTCCATGACCAACCTGTAAAATCTGCCATCTCTCACTGCCATTGACTGAAGGTCTTTGCTTGGAGACATTCTACCGATAGCACTTGAGCAATTTTGATGAATGTGTCTCTCCTTCTCATTACAAGAAATGCTAATCTTCTGACATCTCTTTCTATGTACATTCATTAAAGGACTCCAAGCTCTCCACACTCTGGTGCAGGTGAAATTCAGCACTGTATTTGCTGACTTTACAAGGGTCTGCTCACCCAGAGTTATCTGATGACGCGGTATTAAAGAATTAGGTCAAATAATCTGGATAAACCTTTAGGATTAAGGGATCTGTGCTTGTCTCACTGACCAATATTTTGAAAACCTAGTTATACTCAAGCAAACACAGTATACTCATTGTTCATTCATTCCATACATTGAAGTGTGCGCTGACTAAGGGTGAGGAACTCGTCTAGGCACTGGGGAAGCAGAGTTCTGGCCTTCCTGGAACTTGCAGTAGAGGGGAAAGGATGAAAGAAAAAAACCCACAATGATGACAATACAATGGGGTAAGTGGCATAGGAGACAGAGGACGGGGCTGACGAGCTCCCCCTGCAGTCAGGATGGGTTTCACAAGCAAGGTTAGATTTGAGCTCATTTTGAACGATGGGAGAGAGTTTGTTGGCTGCAGCGTGCTGTGGACATAGGAGGGCCTTCCAGGAAGAAGAAATAATATATGCCAAAGATAAGAACATGGCATGTTTAGCAAAAAATATTTATCTCCCCAACAAAGAATATGCACAGCAGAAGACGTGCTGCAGAGGCCATCAGGGCCAATTCCTGCTGGGCTTGAATACCGTGCTACAGAGTTGATCTTGACCTACAAGGCCAGTAGGTTCAACCCATGTTCCAGGAGAAGAAAGTCCCTTCAGCCGCTTCAGAGAGCATGGGGTGGTAAGGAGAACAGCAAATGAAGAGCCAAGTTCTTCACCCCTATTTTAGTCAAGGCAACTTGGCTCAAATGACGACCGTGGTTGTGGCTCTGGGGATGGGAAAGAAAGCATAGATTCAAGAAGCATTTCAAAAACGGGTGTATTAGTCAAAGTTCTCTATAGAAACAGAACCCAAAGGAGATAGGTATGGATAAATAGCTATAGATATAAAGAGATTTACAGTAAGGAATCAACTCACTTGATTACAGAGACTGAGAAGTACCAAGATCTGCAGTCAGCAACCTGGAGAAGAAAGAGATCTGATGGTGTACGTGCCGGGTGAAAACCTGGCAAGCTCAAGACCCCAGAAGAACTGAGGTTTCCATTTAAGAGGCAAGAAAAGACTGATGTCCTGACTCAAGCAGTCAGGCAGAAGGAGTTTCCTCTTATTCAGGGAAGGGTCAGCCTTTTCGTCTTATTCAGACCTTCAACTGATTGAATGACGATTACCCAATTCAAATGTTAATCTCATCCAGAAATACTCTCACAGACACACCCAGAATAATGTTTGAGGAAATACCTGGGAACTCCATGACCCAGTCAAGTTGGTGCATAAAATTAACCATTGCAGTGGAATTATCAAAACCTGGAATCACCAGGGTGGCTATGGGGAGTGAGGGAATGGGATAAGCGGAGGTTGAGTCTAAGGTTTGCAGACTGGGCAGCCATGTGTGTGGAGATGCCTTAGGTAAGATGAGTATCACTGACAGTCTTTAACAAACAATTGCCTATTTCTGGCAAAGTTCTGCTTGGCATCTGGTAACTAATTGTAAACTTTCTGGTCCAGATGAAAACTGGGTGGAAGCCTGAACCTTGCCTTTACTCTTTGTATGGTATTTCCAGATAAGATCTTTACAACAGTGTCACGTTCAAGATTCATAAATGCCAAATTACCCGTGGTCATTTCAGAAGCACATTCTAAGCCTGGCCAGGAGATGTTTTTCATTGTCTTCTGCAGAAGGCCTGGGCCTCCATGCTGTACACAAAGAGCAGAAATTGCGTGCAGCACAAGTGTGTGGGGCAAGAATTACGAGTCAACACACCCTGTAGCAACAGAGAGAAGGGCCTGATGTTCAAACGGAGGCAGAAGCATGAAATAGCCCCCCATCCTTTCCCTATGGCTGATAAGATCAGAAGTGGCAGTCCACCAAGGGTCACCAATTCAAATATCCTGCAACAGGGCCTAACAGAGAAAAAGGAGATGAGGAAGTAAGATGCTCACCCTTGGGAGCATGGAGAGCCTAAACCAATAAGTGCTTGGAGGAAATGCAAAATGATGGGATGAAGCAGAAACAGAACCCTAGCAGACCAAACATCATGTGCAACAAAAGTCTTGGGGAGCAGGAACTGTGAGTTGACATAATTTGCAACAACAAAAAGGATCAGAAAGATGGAAGTTGTAGACACCTCCCACTCTGTTCTGGGAGCAGGGCTGGCTCTCATAAGTCTTAACGGTATCTCCTCCATGGATCTACTTTGAAGAAAATTCAATGAGTGCTTTCTTGTTGCAAACAAAGAAACCAGCCTGGCTCTACCCACCAAGGAGACCAGAAACCTGTTGCTTTATAAACCTCCAACCTTGTCTAATGACTGATGATGACAAATACTCAGACATCTCTGAGCCCAAATTAGGACCGGACTCACCACACACCCCCATAGAGGATTCTAGGAATTCTATACAGCCCATTCTCCATCTTAGGCTGAAAATGAGCCCTCTCTCTTCCTGCTGAAGGGACCAAGAATTCATTCCCTTTTTCTTTCTTTCTTTCTTTCTTTCCTTCTTTCTTTCTTTCCTTCTTTCTTTCTTTCTTTCTTTCTTTCTTTCTCTTTCTTTCTCTCTCTCTCTCTCTCTCTTTCTTTTTGTTTTTTTGATGGAGTCTTTCTCTGTCGCCAGGCTGGAGTGCAGTCACGCTATCTCAGCTCACTGCAACCTCTGCCTCCTGGGTTCAAGTGATTTTCCTGCCTCAGCCTCCCAAGTAGCTGAGATTACAAGCGTGCACCACCAGGCCCAGCAAATGTTTATATTTTTAGTAGAGACAGGGTTTCACCGTGTTGGCCAGGGTGGTCTCAATCTCCTGACTTCATAATCCACCTGCCTCAGCCTCCCGAAGTGCTGGGATTACAGGTGTGAGCCACCGCACATGGCCCCTTTCTTCTTGATTCTGGTTCTAGCCACCTATCTTCTTCCATCACTGTCTCCTCCATGGGGCTCCATCCTTCCCAGGTCTGTTTATGGAGGGGGACACAGTTTGCCCAGCTCCCTCAAGACAAGCACACTGACCCGCGTTCTGTTACAGTGCCTTTTTCCACAGGGAGGCTCTCAGGAGGTGGGAACAACAACCATGTGGAATTTACAACCTTTTCTGGTCCACAGAAGTCTTTTAGTTCCTGGTTTCGGTGCACATTCCTCCTATTATAAGCTGTCCTCAGACCCTTCTGGATGCTCAGAGCTCCTCTTGCACTCCAGCGTGAAACCCAGCAAGCCTCCCAGCTCTTCAGATCCTTGTCACTCTCTAGACCACTCAACAACCCCATGCCCTATTTTCCTTCATCGAGGTTTCTTATCCCAGTGCAGAGCAGAGAGACAGGCAAGATGGAACAATATGGATAAACTGGTGGGAACCATATGTATAAACTGGTGGGAACCACATGGATAAACTGGTGGGAAACATATGTATAAACTGGTGGGAACCACATGGATAAACTGGTGGGAACCACATGGATAAACTGGTGGCCATTGGAAGGTCCTATTCCCAAGTAGGCCATTTGCCCCTCAGTGATCCTCTCTCCCATATCTGAGTCTCTGCCTCACACAGGAGTCTCCCCTTGGGTTACATCCTCTTTTTGCCCATGCCTGAATATTTCCTTGGTTTGGAATGACTAGAACCAAAGCACAACCAACAGCTCCTTACCTCCCAGTTCCACATCATTGACTTAGGATGAAATCTGACATTCTCCGTGTACCCTGCTGGGATTTCTTTCTTTTGCCTCAGGGTGAATTCGTTCAACAAGGAATCACACTTTAAGACGTGCTGATCGCTCCCCGGCCTTCTGATTCTGGAGTGTGGATGTGCAGGATCAGGATCCTGAGAGGAAGGAGCTTTCTCCTGGAATCCAAGAGCTGTTATAGCAAAAGAGTATCCACTGGAATGTTGGAAGGATTGCCAGCCGCCTCCTTAAAGCCTCCTTAAAGCACAGTACAATGCAAAGAAAACCACGCTGGGAGTCAACACGTTCTTCAGCCATCTACTTACTCCACACATATGTGTTAGGTGTCAACCAGGTAGCACTGCCCTGGGTGTTAAGAATACATTAGTGGCTGGGCACGGTGGCTCACGCCTGTAATCCCAGCACTTTGGGAGGCCGAGGCAGGCAGATCCCTTGAGGTCAGGAGTTCGAGACCAGCCTGACCAACAATGGAGATAGCAGGCTGAAGAGCCAGTAAAGAGTTGATGTTGTAGTCTTAAGTCCTTTGGTGACTTCAGTCTTTTCAGACCTTCAACTGATTGAATGACGATTACCCAATTCAAATGTTAATCTCATCCAGAAATACTCTCACAGACACACCCAGAATAATGTTTGAG